TAGGCTTCAAAGCTCTTGAAGCCCTTGAAGCCCTTGAAGCCCTATCCACCCCTTCGTGTCCAAATACATTTCTGCTAAAAAAACATAGAAATCCTTCTTCCTAAAAGCAAGAATGATTTGGACACTACGCAGAGGTGGCTCGGGCACTATTTCGGGTAGGTGGGCTCTATGAGAGCACTGGTAAGGCAGATAATTTGGTGGGCCTGGTAGAACCTTAGAGTCCGAATAGAATCCGAAATAGTGCTCGAAATAGCGCCCGATCCACCCCTTCATAGTGTTCAAATACATTTATGAGGTTTGTAAAGAAGCAAACCAAATCAGCAAGCTCAGATTCAAGGTTCTTTAAATCCTTATCCTGATCCCGGATCTGTCAGCAACCTCAAAGTAAGGAACTTGTGGGATCTCAAGGTTAGAGAGGTTCAGATCATCCTCGTGGTCGGACTGCGCTTCACTAAGCGCTGCTCCGCCTGGTTCCTCACACCTCAACATGAGGAGTTGACACTTGAAGATGCGCGGTGCGATAGTGCGCTAGCGAAAAAAAACGCAGATTTACTTTTGCTGTAGCGTAACCATTGTGGCCCCGGAGTTCGATCCGGGCCGTGTGAGTGTTGACCTCCAGATTCGTCCCGGGTCCTTGCGCCCATGCAATAGCTGCTTCTTCTACTGCAGATGCAAATGTGGTTTACTCCGAGTTCGTCGTGCGCGCGAAAGGCGAGACGGCTGTAGTCAATCACATCCGCAACACTCAGAACCCCGGTTGAGCATGGACCTAGACTCAAGATCCGTGGCGATCTCGCCAAGCTTTCTCTAGCTGTGACCGAACTTACCTGCCTGAGCGCTGCCATGAAACATCTATGTGTGTGTGTCTGAAGCACGCGAACACTCAGAAACAATGCAGGATCGTCTCTGGCGACTTTCTCGAGATTGGAAATTGAGTGATATATTGGATTCAGTTTGGGGTCTCCCTCTGATTTTGCTTTCTGTAGTGGTGTACCTCAGCAACAAGAGCGATCCGAGCACTTTCGTGCACCAAGCATCCATGAAACGGTTGCACTTAGCGATAAATTGCTCAACACGATCCTCTAGCGCTGCTTGCTCTGTCTTAGTTGTTCCCCATGCGCCGTCGACCATGCGTAGTCCATCAATGGTATCATTGTAAAAGTTGGGGTTCGAATTTACCAGCGTCGAAGGAGGGTCAAACCTGGTTTCAGAGTGCATGTTCAACATTGAGGAGGCGAGGACGGAATTACTTGACCTGGCATGGACAAGACAATTCTGGAATTGGATGGGAGAAGTCAGTAGGCCACACCACATCCTTGAGGAAGTGGTTGGACCGCGCCCAGGTGATTCCAAACGGACTAAAGCAACCCAATCTTTGATTCTTGTCGCGAGCCATGTTGGTATGCAGCCCAAGGAAACATCAAGAACTCAAGCTCCATGATCTCCCAAGGAGCCTTGCGCCTTAAGCTTGGAGAGTGGATCCATTTCATCAACGCGCGATATCCCACCTGGATCTTGGTGAAGATAGAGAGGCTCGTCCTCGATGAGAACGAGGTCGCTGGGATACGTATCTACGCCTGGGCCAAGCTATTCAAATCATGGGCATCTTTGAGATGGTCCGATATCCAGGCGATCAAACCTATCGAGCTTCGGCTCGAGGAGGGTCGGCTATTCACGATACTCCGACGGACCAAGACATCGGGTCCGAACCGAAGGATAAAGGAGCTGCCAGTTTGTGTTAGCGAAGTGGCATTCTATGAGGATGCCCGCTGGATATCAGTAGGATTCAACCTGCTAAAGGAGAATGCCAGCTACAAGAGGGATTACCTCTTGCCAAGGTTGAGATCCGATATGACATCAATGGATCGCAAGATGGCAAGCTATGCTGACGCTGTTGTGGCCACCGCGGCGGTCCTCGCTAGGATAGGCATCCCCACGGCGGTCCAAGGATATTGGACAGAGCATTCGGAGAGGTCGATATTGCCGACTGCCTTGGCAATATTGGGTGTCACGGACTCCGAGAAAGATATCCTGAGGAGATGGAAGCCCAAAGGTTCGGATACCTATGTCCGATCCTACGGTGGGAGGGTGGCTAGACTGCAGTCCAGATATGCGGCCGCTGCCCGAGAGGATAGCCACTACTCTATGCTGGATGAGAGAGAAATAGCGGCCAACCTCCTGGATTGGCTGCAAGAGGCTAGGATGGACCCTCCCCCAATCTCCGAAGCTGAAGCCAGCAAGATTCCCTCACGCAGCAACACAGTAGAGCCTTGCGTTGAGCTTTCGGACACAGAAGATGCTGGGCCCCCCCCGCCCCCAAATCGTCTTTCCGCACTGAAGCAGCAGCTGGAAAAGTTGAAGCCCCTAATCTGAATAGATCTAGGCGGGTTGAATTGTCATTGCAGGGTGTCTATTTGGAAGAGTCAATTTGGATGTAGACAACCTTGCTTACACAAGTGCAAAATATAATCATCAAAACCCAATTGCGCTCACAAACTTGTAGCTCAGGATACCTGCAGGCCATTATATGTAAACTGCGTGTAAGAAAACCCCGAAATCTACGCCCAATCAGCCCTACCCCAGGCAAGCTCGATCGAAGTCCTTTGAGCGCTCGAAGACGGCACGTGGCACCGCCTGGGAATCAGCTGTTGATCCAAGTAACTTGCCCGCAATAAGCGTTTCCCTACCCACGCGGTTTGTGCATGTTGTCCGGATTGCTAGCTAGATTGTGCCCCATGAGCTATTTCAGGCAACACTGACACCTGCCCATATGACGCTGATGCTCTATTTGGATCCATCGCATCGAAGCTGGAAGTGCCCATCCTAAGCCTACTGGATGATTCGCAGCCCGCACTGCCCCTGTGCACTTCAAATTTGGATCCCAAAGCTCCGAGTTTCTGTGATTCCACAACTGCTGCCAGCCACCGTGATAGTGAGCCCAGTAAGCTTGCACGTGCAAAGCCCTTAACTGCTGTCGCTCCTGAACCCTGGCCTCAGCAACCCGAAACTGATCTGAGCCCTGAAGCGTTTCCCAAGCCATCCCAAACTGACGTGAGGGTTGAATCCACTTCGGAACCAGTGCAGGATTCTTCAGGCCCTGAAGATGCTTTGGAGAATAATAGGCCAATCCAAGCCAAAACTGGGCGAGGAGGCCTCCAAAGCTATCGTAGACCCCCTGGTCCACATGTGGAAGACGGGGCGGATATTTGCTGATCTGGTTCCGATGATTCTGGAAGTGGAGGATAACCCTCCAGAAGAGAGGGGCGAGGACAGCGAAGATAGCCAGGGGCCCGAGCCAGCTAGCTCCTCTAAGGTTGCAAAGATTGGACCGATCGGCTAGGTATGTGATAGTGGAGCTGCCGGGAGCAATTTTTCGGCTACACCGAGCTGGTGCCAATGGTTGTTGGATGGGGAGAAAAAGAGAATTTAAGAGCTCTCGAGATTTCTCCGATATGCCGGGTAGAACGGAGTACACACATGTTTGCCGTCTTTGTTGGCCGGATGGCCAGTTTGATAGTGATGATAATCCCAGCGATGCCTCTCCAGCGGGGTCTGGAGACGAAGCTGAGATGCAGGATATGCCGGGAGACCCGGAATGGTCTCAGACGGAATCCGTCTCTGGGGGCTGGGCAGGCTACGACGATAGCTGGCTGCCGATCGGCTCCGGATAGAGATGGCGCAAAGCGTGGTTGATAAATCGAGCGCTGGATATTTTCCCTTGTTTGGCTTGGCTTGATTTTCCTTGATTGCCTTGCTAACTTGATATGCATGTGGCTCACTTGGCACTTGGATACCGCGTTTTGAGAAGCCTGCTTGAGAGTCGGAGAGGGCGCCCCTTTTTCTTTTCCGTCCGTGAAACCAGAGAAGGAGAGAATGGGCGCGACAGTGACATGTTTGGCTATGCTTGCGGTGTATTATTACGCTACTCTGTCTTACTACAGGGCGCTGCTACCTAGCGAGTTAGCTATTCATGTCTGAGTGCTCGGTGCGCGCACGTTGTATTGCTATCAGGGCTATCTGCTACCTAGCAGGATGGCTACTCTGATAAAGCCTCTGTCTTGCTACGCTACTAGATCTGCTACCTAGCGTGACGGGATGTCCGAAGCTTGGGGACCAAGCTTGAAAAAGAGTTTTGTGGTAGGATTGTGGGGCGCCCACCCCCGAAAGTGGGTGATCTCTTTTGATATCCGCTATGTCTGCTTCTGATAACACCAGTGTTATCGATGCTGCAAGGACAATGCTAAAAGCGCTAGAGGATAACGCTGAAGGCCTTGAGGCCATCTGGAGAGGAGCGGCTACAAAGGACCAGCTCCAGGACATGATAAACTTGCTAGAGTTGGCGCAGGTGTCGCGGCAGATAGGGAGGCTAAGTCCAAAGCGGGGGCCAAGGCTAGCTTCCCACACGCTAGCCCGAGAGGGACCAACAAGGTCCCCTCCGCCAGCTCCAAGAGACAGGCTACACCGCCGAGACCGAGGCGGAGAGATGTGACACCGCCACCTAGTTTCTGGGCGGATGTGGTCGATACACCTGCGGAAAGGGAGACGGAGCCGCAGTGGATGCTGGATATGGCCAAGCACACCTTGGCCGAGCAGATGGCTAAGCTAAAAGAGAAACAGGATAGGGAGCGTGAGGAGCTCACTTCCAAACCAAACTTGAGTCAAAATTCTCGGAGTAGCTGAGAGATGAAGAGAAGGGGTCTGGATACCCCCATATACCGCATATCCACATATCGAAGATCCCCGGAGAAGAAAAGAATGAGAGAAAGAGAGAGGGGGTCTGGATACCCCCATTTAATGAAGTAGCCGGAGAGGGTCTGGATACCCCAAAGACCCTTCTCTCTTCTTCTCTCTCTCTCTAGCGTCCGAAGCGGAGTCTCAAGCAAACAAATGTCGGTGTATCCAAAAACATCTCCGACCACTATCCGCACTGCCCAGAAATAGCCAGTAAGCATGTCCGCGCAGAGGCTATCGGCCATCTCTCTTTTTCACGCCGCCTCCTCGTGGCGGCCTCTGCTAGACTGTATCCTCACCCCACAAAAGGCACTATCAATACGTACTCACCTCAACAATCAGGGGATTATCGGATACCGTCTAGCGTGGCCTGGGCTATCTCGAGCACTGTACAGATAGCTAGCTCATAGCTATATCAAGTAGCAACAGTATCGACTATCAGTCGGTGTACTCGCCACCGTCTTCTCGATGGCAAGCTTTGCAGCGGTGGGGCCCGTGCTGCTCGTACACGGTCCACTGCTGCTGATTACAACTATCGCCCTCGCACTTTGGACACAATATCACACATTTAAAGATCTCATTTCTAGCGTCTCAGCGCCCTCTCCCAGTCATCTCGCCAGAGCGGCATCTCACATAGCCAATCTCGGGCACTAGCAGCATGAGGACATTCCCGAAATCCGGGTTGGCCACTAGCGCATGCCTATCCCTTTAGCTGGCCGCCTCCGACGGTGTCCAGGCGGAAACGCTCCATGAACTGTCTCTCCGTTGTAGCCTGTCCCCTTCGAGAGGGACCCCATGGAGCTGTCCTTGGCGGAGAAGCTGGCTAAAGGGTCGTCTGACCTGAGATTTTTGCTAACCACCATGGGTCAAGGACGACCGCCAGGGCAAGCTATATGGGAGTGGAATAGATACGCTAGCCAAGTTTGCGGCTTTGTTACAACAGCCAGCTAGCTAGCTGACTTGCTGAAGCTGAGTTCTCTCTAGATCCCAAGTCACTGGATAAGAGAGCCCAGGTCGCGCTATACGGTAGCTTGGCAGCAGCACAGATCCGGGTTAAGGCCCAGGCCAATGCGGAGGCGAGCAACGAGATTCGAGATTTGGCTAAGCCGATACCGGTTTCGGATTACATGGCTATGAGGCAGTCTTTCTCCAAGACCTTCGGGGAGCTAAATATATTCCTTTAAGGGAATATATTGAGAAAAAGCTAAATGAGCTGGACTCTGGAGAGTTCCGAGCAGAGCAGCTAAGTGAAGGAGGACGGGATGAGGTCGACCCTGATACCTTGCTACCAGCCTGGGATAGCAAGGGCCACATCACCGTGAAGAAGGCCTCCCTCCACGGTCGCTATGCCCACCAGGGCCCGAGCAGTTGAGAGGTAGGATAACCGTTGTTCAATGCCCTGGCTATGATCAAATTAAGCCATGTCAACAGGATAGAGCTATCCGATGTAACTTCGAATATCTTCGAGAAATACAAGGAGCACCTTCTTGGAGATTATGTCTATGGGCTAAGATCGGCTGAAGGCGTTGGTGCTATTCCACCATGGACTCTGTCCTGGGCTATGACCACGCTATCAGAAAGCCAGCGTACAAGCTCGTTAGCCAGGAGGGATACAAGCTGGGTGAGGCGCTAAAGCGGGCCTGGAAGGACCCAACAGTAAAGGAGAGACACTTCATCACTCCGCTAGCCCTTTACGCAAAGCGTCCGCTAGAGCCCTGGTACCCCAAAGCTACCCCTCTCTGCTGCACTGAGGCTATCCAAGCCTCTCGGGCTAGCAAAGCTGCGGACCGGTCTCGGTCCTTTCTTGTCAGCCCATGTGCTCTGAAAAAAAGCAGAGTACGAAGGAGATAGCAACACCGCATCATAGTAGCCAGATTTGATCTTCTCAAGTATCTTCTTTCGCTGCTTGAAGCTAAGGTCTATCCTCGGTTTCCGCTTGATATCGATGCAGTCGAACGACCAGCTTGTATCCCGATATCTCGCACAAGGCTTTCAGACAAGAAGTCATATCATGCTGCCGCGGAACTCCAGAAAACAAGCACAGCTCCCGCCGGAGAAGACACTCCTGGACCTCCCTTTTTTCAAAGATCGAACACACGCTGTCAAACAGATGATGTTGCCACGCGCACTTCTATTCATTCGATTCGTACCACTGCCACCACTGCCACTCTACCACTTTTTTTCGAACGCGTAGCACCTTATCTGCTGTGGCTATCTGCAACGGCTTTGCTGCTGCTGTATCCGAAGAGTAGCAGGTGGTGTATCTGTAGCGTCACACTGCCTGGGGGCCTGTGTCTTATCAGTAGCAGTAGCAGTAGCTTGTGGCCCAGCAACGTCTCCAGGTCAGATAGCGGCTGCCCCTGCGTATCGTTCTTGTTGGACTTGCACTGATAGCTCGGATGCTTTGCAAAAGCATAGCGTGCACACAGAAGTGGCATTTCTCGCCCTTCTTGCAGCCACCTTTCGAATTGTATCAAAAGCATATCGGCTTGTTTTCCGGGGTTCAGGACAAGCCCTTCCTTTGATAGCGCTCTTTTCTTTGCCTTTCCCTTTGCTATCCTTGCGATACTTGGCAACGGGTCGACTTCCTACTGTTAGAACAGCCAGAAGATTTGGGAGCTATAAGATATGGCCCCTACCAGGGATTGCGTCCGTCATCCATGTGGCAGTGGCCACAGCTGCAAGATCTTCTGGAAAGAGATGGCGTGATAACCTGCGTTTTTCCACCAAGGCAACCTGGGTGCTGGATATCCGAAGCCAACGAGACTGCTGCTGAAGACCCGCTTCGGCTTCCTTCTTTTTTTATTTTCTGGGACCCCCGATTTTTGAAGACGGTTCTATACGGGCCCACTTCCGCTAGCTAAGGGGATGGGTTCGATAAGAGGGCGACACACCTCAGGCCCTTTTCGAAACCTCAGGCACCGAGTACTGGCCGCCGAGAATGTGCCAGTGGATGGCGAGCTTGTTAGTTTCTTCCTGGGCGCCGACTGCTACGACTGCTGCGTTGGAGACTCCCATGCCTGCCCAGTAGTGCTGTCTTGGACGAGAAGAAGAACTTGTCTGCGAGCCGGAGGGCGCTAGGCTTATGGGAGGCCACGGTCCTCCTAGGAGTTGTGATATTCTGGAGGGCCAGAAGCCCTTCCATGATGGGGGAGGCCTTTGTTTTCTCGAGAGATGGCCACACGATAGAAGGATACTGGCAGATGGAGAATGCTTGGCTTGGCTACGGACCAAGCGCTTCGAGATAGCCTGTGCTCATGCCGGAGGCGCTAAGGAGCTAGAGAGGGAAGCCTTGGCGACGGGAGGCGAAGAAGGGTGCCGGGTTGTGAGGAACCAGTCCTATATTGCGGATATTGTGATAGCCCTGCGCGAATGGCTCGAGGCCCAGGACTTGGGTTGCGACGGGCTATCCGAGGTTAGCCGCTGAGACTGAAGTTGATAAGGGCGCTGCTCCAAGCGGCGGATGACCCGGACAGAGTTTTCCTGCTACTTCGAAGAGCAGACAAAGTGGCCCCTGGATAGAGAACCCTGGGAGCCGGGGCTAGTTTGGGTCCCGAACTACGGCTCGACCCGAGACTTTGCTAAGGATAAGTTCGAAGAAGAAGTGAG